AGCCCTCACTTCAGCCTTCACAAGCTGCCTTTCTGGAGGTCTCTGGAAACTGTGTATCAGGCCATCCTGGTCACTGTTGTGGTTCATGGGCATCTCAGCTGGGTTGGACTCTTTACTGCTTCTCGCCGCAAGAGCCTCCTTCTTAAAATCCTGAAATGATCTGAGATCGTCCACTGCAAAGGCTGCTGAAGCCTCATGAGTCAAGACTTGTGAATAAGTAGGTATTGGCCTCTTTGACTGGGTAAGGCAAAAGCTTCTGGAATGTTCTCATTACCTTTCTCCTGCTGTTATAGGGTTCCTGACGGGGCATGAAGCTTATGCAGGAGAGTGTCTAACACAGACTCCCATATTACAGTTAGTGTTTGTGTAGGGAAAGCAAAGGCGTGGTGGGTGAAACATCTAAGAGCCCACTTTGACCACAAGGAGACAGGGAGGGAATCACTAGGAAAGGCTTGAGCTTCTGAATGCTCCAAACCCACCCCTAGTGACACCCCTGCTCCACCAAGGACACACCTCCTCTTCCTTTCCACACTTCCATGAACGAGGGACCAGGTATTGAAGCCCAGGAGCCTATGGGAGACCATTGTTGTTCCAGGGTCTCCATAGATCCTTAGCATCCTCACAGGAGAGACACAGGTCCTTGAAGGCCAGTCACGACAGCCAGTGTGGGTTAATGTGAGAAATGTGGAGTCCATTTCTGTTCCCATTGAGCATTCGTGAGTGCAAAATTAACAGCAGGTTTATATGACTGTGATCTGGGTTGGGGTTTCCTCCCCATACTCTCTCCAGGGATCTGGATTTTGCAAACTAAGGGATTCATATATACCTATGCTGGTTGGCTTTCTAGTTCTGTTGTGGGGATTTTGCTGGGACCTGTGAGGAGAGCAGCAAGCCTCCACATCCCTGCTAGGTCAGGCTTCAGAAAGAGAGCCTCAGGACTCAGTAGGTGGTGCCTCTTATTATACTTGTGTGGACTTGACTCAGTGTAATGAGACTACAGTGGTCTCCCATGGACCCAGCTGTCACACAGATCCTATGCTGGAAAACCAGGTGTGCATTTGGAAATCCTTCCAGCCTGCCCATGATGGACAGCTGGACACTGCACAGGTCTGGAGAGGCCAGCATGCAGGACAGGCCTTGATTGATTTGATGAGGGCTTCCCACTTTCAACCATTTAGGTTTGTAGTGATATGTGGAGACCGACTTCAGAATTGTTCAAGGGAATGAGTGTCCAGAGCCGTGGGGCTCCCGTGGATACAACAAAAGCCATAGATCACTCAAACGTCATCACTGGGATGTTCCGGTTGATAAAGAGAAACAGTGCTTAGCTGCAGAATGGGGGCATGCATCCCAGCGAAGGAAAGCCCCTGCATGCAGGCAGAAGAGCTCAGGATAGTGTCCTGCTTGCTGAGTGCTCTAGGAGGCAGCAGTCTGGAAAAGTAAGGGCCACCCACATTCATGACAGAGGGCAGAGACTTGAAGCAAACCTATCCTGATACAGGATGCAGGAAAGATGCCTCATTTTGGAGATCATGCTCCCAGCGAGCAGAAGCTGAGGCCATGGTAGGGTCATGAGAGTGAGAGAGACACACACAGAGAGAGAGAGAGGAGAGAGAGAGAGAGAGAGAGAGAGAGAGTTTTGGTTTCATTTGAACATTTGATGAACCTGAGGTGGATATCCAAACTCAGTGCTTTCCTCTAGTTTCAGGGGCACTGGTGTCTATTTGTAGGGACCACATTTACAAAGATGCAGCAGAGTCTTCAAAGGGAGTCAAAGTCTTTCCACATCCTTCCAAGTGAGCAGCATCCTCCTCTGACTGTTAACTGTCCTCCCCGGGTAGAAGCCTATCATGGAACTCATGAGGAGGCACAAACATCTGATCAGGGATGAGGAATGCTCTCCAGGTTTTTCTCCTGAGGAAAGAGCCAACACCCCCCTCATCTTGTTTGACACAGTCACAATTCATAGGACCCAAGCATCCTGATGAGACACGGAGTCCCCTCAAGCCTTATCTGTGATTGTTGCTGCTCCAGCACACACACAAAGGTCCTACCCAAGAGAGCTACTCGCTGGTAGAAGCTGGGGAATATTAACGTATTACTAGCAGGCGATGTTTAGCGATAGTGACTGGCAGCTCCAGAAAACCTGGAGTCCTGCTGGGTAAAGGAGACTTGGAAAATCCCACGTTCTTCTGGTGTTCACCACCTTGTTCTTCCCGTGTATGGTAGCTGGAGTCCAGAGGAGATATGCGCTCCTCAGGCAGTAGAGTTGTCCGTACTCCTTGCATTCCGGTCCTTCTGCTAACTGAGGACCCTAAATCTGAACCCTGCCCTCTAACCACAAACACCAGTGCTAGAGCTTGTAGGAAGTTGTGATCCATCATCTGGACAGTATAAGAGATCGTGATTTGGAGAGCCAGGCTCATTTGCCCAGGGCATGCTTAGCAGCTACTCCTGTGTGCTGACAATACTCGGGGGCTTCTATTCCCAGGCTGTACTGGAAGCCAGTCCTCAACTCAGGGAATGGCAGCAGCAGCAGCAACGGTTTATGCCGTTGCAAGTCTGCTGGAAATGACCCTTGTGTCCTCAGCATGGGCTGTGAAGAAGAGCAGGATGGATCTGTTTCCCACTCACGGGTGGCTGCTGCCGGGGATCAGGCTGAATTCATCTTGGTCTTCTGGAGGCTGTTTCCATGTGTGGCAACACAGGCTTCCAGAACCTGTCCAGACTACAAACACCTCCAGGTATAAACAAGGGCTCATCTTAAAACTCCTCTATCTGGTGTTCATAAGTTGCACTGGAGCCAGCGGAAATAGTTGAGCAGCCTGCCCCCTTCAGCGAGCAGAGCCTTGCAGTGGAGCACAGTGCCGAGGGACATGCAGAAGGCCAGAGGGCTCTTTATGTCTCAGTATCTGTGGGCTTCATTCTTGATGGCACTGTGGCATATGATAGAAGAAGATGGAAGGGCCAGGCTGAAGTCCCAGCCCATAGCTGTTCAGCCCCCATTGACATTAATGCAAGCATGGTGTCCATGCAGACCCCCAGCACACACAGCGAGGATGCCTACAAACCTCCCTTTCAGAAGCTGTGCTTGAATCTTCGCTCAGAAGATCAGTAGGTCCCCACTGAAGTACCATTCCTTGGATGCTCATCTCTCCACCATACGTACAACAGACTCAGAACACTACTAGCACATCAGCTCCTCCCGGTGTGACTCTGGGGTGCGGCCTCTTTAGTGCCGGATGCGTTGGCTTTGATGGGGCACGTGGGGTAGAGAGAACTGCAGGTCCTTGCATTGTAATAACAGTAGGAGACAGGCATGTCTCCTGCCCCCTGGTGCAGCTTTGCAGCCAGCCTTGTGGACAAGGAGAGATGACACCCAGATCCCCTTCATTTTCCTTCCCAAGGGCACCATAGGTGACTTTTCATCCGGTACTGGTCCCATGTAATGGTACTGGTCAAGTGCAAACCAGAACATTCCTGCCTCTTGACTGTCTAGATAGGGAGAGGCAATAGGCTGAGCCCTGGGGCACCCACTATGCTGACTTCATGGCTCCACTCCACCTGTCACTGGAAGACTCCAAACTTGCCTGAGTCCCTACCCAACTCCCTCAAAACCTCAGGTTCGGGTCTGCATGCTGTCTTCCTAAGATGCTAGGGACATGGGAAGCCCCCGGGCAGCTGCTCTGCACATTTGAGGAGGATTGCTTGAGGACCACGCCTGCTGTGCAGGGTGTAGAATGGTTTCTCCTGCTCTTCTGAAATAGTGTTCCCTTGGAGCACAGGGAGGGCCTGCTTCCCTTCTGCTGCTGCTGCTACAGTGTCCTGGCGGCTGGGCGTGGCCATTTGGAGCTACACCTTTGGCAGCTGAGTTGTTAGAAAAGGCATGAAGAAACCAGGTGATGCTGGTGCCTGCCTTTAATCCCAGCACTTGGGAGGCAGAGGCAGGGGGATCTGTGAGTTGGAGGCATGGTCAAAAGGGCAAGTTCTAGGACTGTCAGAGATACACAGAGAAACCTTGACTTGGGATCCCCCCTGTCAAAGAATGCCATGAGGAGATAATGCCACCCATCTGAGGAGCTCATCTCCAGAAGTGAGCAACATAATGTAAGTTAAACCCCTGCTTGTGGCAGTTAGGGCTTGCCCATCCCCCCAAATTCTGCCCCAACCCCCGTTTCAACAGGGACATGCCTCTCAGCCTCTCTTTCTTCTTCATTCCCTGCCAACAAAGTAGCTAGTGCCGCATGGGAAGACCAAAGGACAAAGGACATGTGTGTCCTAGGTTACTTTATATTGTGGCAATCACCAATTCCAAAGCAAGTTGGTGTAAAGAAACTTTATTTGGTTCACCCATCCCGATCCTTGAGTTCCATAGTGGGGAAGTCAAGGCAAGAACTCATGCAGGACAGGGACCTGGAGGGAGGAAGTGAAAGGGATTATGCAGAGTTGTAGTACTGACAGTCTCCCTTACTCTGGCTTGCTCAGCAAACTTTCCTACACATCCCAGAGAATCCTGCCCAGGGTTGCTACATCCCCAGGGGTCTACCAGTAACTGTTCCCACTCAGATGAAAGGGTATCCTAGAAGTCAGCAGCTGAAAAATACCCAGTTCACACACTACAGAAAACCTCACACTAGAGATTTATTGGGAGGGACACAGGCAGGAAGGAGTCTGCCTCTGCTGGGACAAGAGTTACTGAACAAAATAGAACCTTTATATGTGGTTACCTGGGGGTGGGGACAGAGCTGTCCAGGGTGGCCTGGGATTGGAGGGATTGTGTGGACTGATGTTGAATGAAGGGATTTTATGCTCAGGGTTGGTGTTTGTTTTTTTGGTCCAAGTCTGGGACTTGGCTTTAAGTCAGGGTCAGGGTGTTCCCGCCTTGGCCCTTTTACCTTCTGCTATCACCCTGTTTGCCATTCATTAATAAAGAAAATCCCTCCCACACTTCCCTACAGGCAATCTGATGGAGGCATTCTCTGAACTGTGGCCGTCTCTTAGATATCGCCTGCTGTGTAGAGTCTAGAAGTTACCTGTCACACATGGCACCACACAATCAGGAGGGTCAATGCTCCGTGAGAGGAAATGTCACCATGGGAAAGTACTCAGGTGGAATGTCTAAGTGTCGGGAAGCACCTGGTGGGGGCTGTTTAGCTGGCCTGGACCGATTAGAAACAGAACTGAGGACCTGGAGGGTTCTCCATGTGTCCACCCTCCTAGCCCTTCGCCATGGACCGCGGATCACATGACCAGAGCAGGTTCTTAGAGAGGCTGGCCGTGCTGGGCAGTGGTAGCCAAGGCATTTCCATGCAGCACTCTAGAGGCAGAGGCAGGTGGACCACTCTGAGTTCCAGGCCAGCCTGTTCTCCAAAGCAAGTTCCAGAAGAGCCCATGTGACATAGAGAAAGCCTGTCTCAATAAGGAAAACTAGACAAGGAAAAAGGAAGCTGGCAGAAGGCTGGCAGAAAGGTCTGAAGAGGAAACATGCCTGGGGTCTCCTCTTGTACTGACGTCCCAAAGAAAGCCTTCCCCCCTCCTTTCTTCCTGTCCATCCTCCTTCTGTTCTCCCTCCCCCAATCCACACCTCCTCTCTTTCTGCTCAGCAAAGGGCAGGATTTTGGTGCATTCAAACCTCTGGTACAGAACTGAGACCTGAGACTTGTCAAGGACTTCCCTTCTACAGATTAGAGTCATTTCCCCCACACTGACCTCTGAGAACACAGCCCGGGGTGTCACATGTGCCAGGCATGTGTTCAGGCACTGAGCTGTACTGTGAGCCCACTCCCCTCCTAGCTATTCTGACACGACAGTGTTAGTTAGCATCAGAAGCTGAGGGCCTCTGCGGAGGCCATCCTACCTGCATCTAAAAGATGATGTCCATGGCGATCTTCAGCGCTAAGGCGAGCCCGAAGAAAGACCACGGGAAGGGCAGTCCGATCCCCGGTTAACATTTCATAGTGAAGCTCTGAGGGGCTCATGCCAAGAGCCATCTCCTGGAAGACAATCAAGGTGTTGCTGTGACTTTGTTAGTCATCCTTGAGAAAGGAGTTCAACCAAGGCAGGGCGGTGGATGTCTGAGCAATTCGTGAGGTGGACCGACATTCTACCTTGTCTTTGTGCCATCAGAGAGTACTCCTTCTCCAACAGGATGGCGGTGTTCCAGGGCCTCAGGCGCCTGACTCAGGCTTTCTCATAGAATTCACAGCCTGTATTCCATTCATTTCCTATTTGCTCCAAACCCTCACACTGAGCTCAGGGTACAGGAGCAGACACGACCTATGGAGAGATGTGGTGTGCTTAGTGGTGAACGCAGGGACAGAAGCCAGGAGAGCCAACATGAGTCATGATCACCCTGAAATCCATCCCCTGGCTTTCTGGACTCAGGTTTCTACAAGCTTCTGTTGATGCTACCAAGGAAGGAAGGGAAAGGTCCCAACACAGAATAAACTGAGAAGTTTGGGCAGTGGAGTCAGGAGCTTCCAGGCTCAGGGACCACTGAGTGGCAGGGCCTGTTCTGAGATTTCATTCTGAGATTAATGTTGCTGGCTTGCTCTCCTCACAGGTTAACAAGACCACCCTTGGGCTCTTGAGTACGACCATGTAGGTAGTCATGTCCTCAGATGTTCCATACTAACTGTTACAGGGACACAAAGTCCTGGTAAAATGACCTAGGCATAAAGCTCAGGGGCCATGAACTAGGATGCTAGGATTCAACAAGATCTAAAGACAGAGGACTAAGGCAAGAGGTTTGACATTCCCCAAATCAACAACCAAGGCAATTCTGAGAGACAGAAGGTTTTTTTTTTTGTCCTGACTGGCATCCAAGGCAGGAGAACAGAACGTGTGTGGGTCAAGGCCAAGGCTCCCACTTGCCAGAGCAGTCACAAACTTCTCCAGTAAATGCTGGCACTGTTTCGTGTCCACCATATACTCCACCTGCAGAAACATTCAAAGGAGTGAGCAGCAGAATCCATCCCCGTGTCCTTCAATGTGGGCAGAGAGAATGACTTCATAGGGTTATCCTGCAACCTCCACATGCTAGGCACTGCACACAGATGCTACACACACATCACAAAGACACACATCCACAAAAGACAAGAGAGGAGAGAGTAAGAGAGAAGAGAGGAGGGAAGGAGAGGAGGGAAGGGGAGGGGAGGGAAAGGGAGAGAATAAATAAGTAAGTAAATAAGTGAGACGAGATACATCGTTAATGTTAAATGCTCCCCAAGTTGTCCTAGGCTCTGAAGCTAGACTATCTGTGTAAAGCAGGCCGAGGATTGTAGGCAACATACATACCAAGATGGAGCTGCAATGCACTGACTCTGCTGTGTCCAGGCTAGTGCGGTATCGGGAATGTGGACTGAACGTCCCTAACCGTAGGGAGAAGAAGGGATGTCACAGCTTCATATGAGCCTGGCAGAGGTGGACAGAGAAAAAAGCACTGTTGTGAACCCAGCACAGACTGCTAGGAAATCACCTATGCCTAGGAAGCATCAGTCCGGGATCCTGTGAGACATCCCAATGATGTCAGCTGAGTACAGACAACGTAGTTATTCTGGGGGAGATGCTGAGAGGGCAAGAGAGGACAGGGCTGCTGGGCGTCAGGCTTGGACAAGGCAAAGCGAAGAGGCGAAGAGGCTGAAGCCTGCAGTCATGGAGCTGACGGGTTTGCACTGGGAGTAACAGAGCTGCCTGTCCTCCACTGTCAATGTGTGCAGCTGACAGTGACCCGGGACTAGAGTCTAGAGCAATCGTCTAGAAGAGGTTCACCTGTCAGCAGGTCTAGAGAGGAGTGATTGAAGGCCTATATTGACACGGGGTGGCCCACTTTAGGACAGTGCCAATGCCTGGGCTCGGGCCACGGACAGGGTGCGAGGGCATCTCTAGTGGATTCCAAGCAAGCAAGCTTAAATGCATGCTCTCACAGCCATCTGCTCGAGCACGGACAGGGTATGACGGGACACCGTGCGTGCATTTGTGCTCCCTACTCACTGGGGTAATGGGCTGTGGCCCAGCAGTGTAAGTCAAAATCACCACCGTGAAAATGACACTGGACCACGTTTTTTTCCAGATCCTCAAACAGACAACTCAGGGACAGCAGGGGTCATGTGTCTGATGGTTCTCCTATCTGACAACTGTATCAAGCTCTGACCCTCGACTCATGGTCTGAGAGACTAGAGGCACAGAGCCTGGCTCTCTCTCTCTGCTCTTTCTCCTCTCTCTCTCTCTCTCTCTCTCTCTCTCTCTCTCTCTCTCTCTCTCTCTCTCTCATTCTGTTCTCCAACTGCGACGTCAGAATTCCCCGTGGAAGTTTCAGAAGCCCTGGGCATTCCTCCTCCAACAACCAGTTATGAGGGGAAAGCCCGCCAGGCGCTTCCTGCTGCCCTCACACCACCATCCACTGAGAGAAGCAAGGGAGAACAGCAGGGATCCCCAGTTCTCTCATTTCTAAGGACAATCATGGAACTCAAAAGACTGGACCTCTTCCAGGTAGCCCTTGGTCAAGTCCCAATTTGAGAGGATTTCTAAGTCTAGGCATAGGAATGAGTGACCAATGTCAGTCTGAGCAGAGGAGAAGGAAGAGGATGGGCAACCAAGGGATGAGAAGGACAGAGAGTCTCAGCTACCTTGAACATTGGCACGCCCATATCTTCCTGAGGCCCTGACCCTTAGCATAGGAGTCCTGAACTCAGGAAGCATTGCCCAGGAAGCTAGCCACGGGGCCAAAGTGCTCAGAGAGAGGTCAGCAGAGAGCCTGCACAGATGGTGCAACATTATAAGCCACTTCCAGGTTCTTGGCTAAGGAAGGCCTGCACCCAGAAAGATCTGAAAGGTGTCTGCATGAGACGTGGCACACGGATCCCCACCGTACCTGTCGGTACGTCAGGAGCCTATTCATTCCTAGGACTATTACTGGTTTGGGTCTGAGACAGCGTCATGGGACCTTCCCATCTTCCTCACCTGAACTTTCATTTCAAGTCTAGACATCTTCCTTTCTGGTATACGATCTAGCTTGGCAGAAAGAGCTACATCAACCACAGAACAAAGTAAACCAATGTGTTCCAGAGCATTGGCTCTCACAGACACAGCAAGACTTTGTTTTCAGATTGCCTTAGCAGCCACAGGCACGGAAGGACCTTGGTGCACCTTTGCTGACTGTGGTGACAGCCTAGGATATCTCTCTCCATCAGGGACTCCCAGAATGCGTCAGGGCTTTGGTGAGGTTCACACTCCTAGCTGGTGACATCTACAAGGAACAGAGCGACAGAGGGTCAGAACACGGCGGTCTCTGTGTGTCCGTCACAGCTATCCCTCTGGTGCCCCATTTTCAGAGTAGAAAGACAAACCCACATCAGTGTCAGGACCCCCAAGGTGACTGGTTGTGTGTGGGGGACAGGAAGGAGCATCAGGGGCTGAGCGACCGACCACCCAGGGCCAGAACTGCCTGATGACAGGTTGTGCCTGGGATGATCACTGGCCCTGAACTCCCCCCCCCCAGGTATTTCTGGAGAATGGTGGGTCACCACAGCAGGCACATGGCCTCTAAATGCTGGGGTCCACCACTGCCAGCCTATCAGGCTGCCTTCTGGCTACTGCCTTTGTCATTCGTCCGTCCCTCAGCTGCCTTTCCCTTCACCAGCAAAAGCAGAGTGCAGGTCTTTGGCCTCATTGGAACTTTCAAAACTCCTGGGGCCTGAGAGCCAAGAGAGGCTGGAGACCAGCACTGCAGCGCAAGTTAAAATTACGAGTAAATTTCTGTCAGGGCCCCTACACGTCACTACACCAAAGAGACAAGAGCTGCCTTCGTACAGGCTGACTGCCGTCACATGGCCGCTCTCAGGGATTGCCCTCTGTCTCATCTCTCCTCCCAGACTGGGCTCAGAACTGCTCTCCTCACAGGGACCGTCTCCTCCAACTCCCTGGAAAACCATGAATGCTCTCAGGCCCGCTACCCCGCTGAACAGTTTCATGTGGACTTACCTCACGCCTTTGTCTTCCTGATATCCCGGACTCTGCCAGTGTGCAGGCTCCAGCGGGCAGCTTGACCATGGGACCAATCATCCTGGGATCCAGCACCTACTGAGGGCCTGACACATCCCCATGTTTACTGAGTGTTGGCCGGCAAAAGAACAGCTCACAGCATTGTACAAAGGCAGCCCAGAAGCTGGGGTCAGACTCAGACCCAATCTTCACACTTACTCCTTGTATGTGAGAAAGGAGTTGGGCCCGTGGAGGAAGAGTTGTCCCCGTGATGCTACTGGAGGACTGGCTCGGGCAGAGCCCAGGAAGTGAGTTCCAGGCTTCATGGCCTGGACTGAGAGCCCAGCCCTGCAGACTTCCCACAGCTGGGCCAATATCCCGAGGAAACGCAGAGACAGGTGTCCCATGGCCACCTCTGACAAATCTGGAGAGGGGCCCCCGCCAGGCTCTTCAGGTCCAGAAGGTGGAGAGGGAAAGCTGAAGGAGTGTCAGACTGAAGTTGCCTCGGTGACGACTGAGCTTGCAGTGCGCACACACCAGCGTACAAAGTAGGTCTGGAGAGGAGGGTCTGCGGGTTTTACTATCTACTTCCCAGGAACAGTTCCGCCTGGCAACATGGTTCCTGGCAACCTCCCAGGGTCCTCGCCCTTGCCTTCCTGTCTGCACAGTGACATAGCCCCATAAGTGCAGGCTGGGGTGTTTTTATAACTCAGCATGCCACCTCGAAGGGCACACACAACAGCCTTGTCAACAGTATTGTGTGTTGACAAAGAGCTACTGGATTAGATGGTGACAGTGCCCCAGCTCAGCCCATCCTGCAGCTGGAACACAACCTTCCAGGGACTGAGCACATCCTGAATGTCCTTACAGACTTGTGAGGGCAAAGCGGTCCAGATTTGTCTCCCATAATCTGGAAAAGGGTTCTACTATGACCCTGGGAATGAATTCTCCTTGGGTGATTGGAGGTAGAATGCATGGAGGAAGGGACAGAAACAATGGCCAGCATTGGTGTCCCATGACAAGAGAAGTGTTTGTGTCTTGGGATGGATGGCGTGAAGACTCAGCACTTCTGACCAGTTCATCAGATGCTTGGAATGACATCGCAGCGTCCTCTCTCTTGAGAATGGAGTTAGCTCCCTGCAGGGGAGCCTGTGTCGCGGCATCACACTGCTTTCTTGGGTTCACCGTTGTCCCATGGACTTGGCCTGCAGCATGACAAAGGAAGATTCCAGAATCTCACATGGAGTAGTTGCTGCCAGACCTGGCCGATGCCCCACACTTTTCTATCAGGGAGCATCCCCGAGCCAGTGCCTCAGTCTGTCCATCTGAACTGCAGGGAGACCCTGAGGTGGATCCTCAGAGCCCTGACCATAGTCCCTCTGCCATATTCCCGGTCATCACGTTAGGTTCCCTGAGGACACACTCCCCCTCTCTGTTGAGGGAATTCTACTTGGAGCTTCCAAGCCAGTCTTGGTCTATTCAGCCATGAGCATCAGCAACAATGGACCACCTGTCTTGGTAGTCAGAGGGCCAACAATGGGAAACTGGATGGCAAGGAAATGCAGGGACATAAATCACATGCCTGTCCTCTGACCAGTCAGGGAGACCCCCTTCCAGGTTCCTCAATGTGGAAGCCTGGGGGTTGGGAAACTGATGTGTGTTTGGTGACGCTGCCCTTTGAGGGCATGTCCCTGGAATGCCCCTGTGGAGGGTCCTGTGATACAGCAAACATCTCCTCCACACTGGGCATGCAGCTACACGGGCGCTGGGACCCAGCTCAGCCTCGCCCTGGTGGCCTCCACCTGTGATGTCAGCCTTGGCAGGGCTCAGTGCACTCTTGAGTGTCCAGGTGAAATGTAGGGAGTCACTGAAGTGGCCCCTTTGTGCCTTCATCATAGCCACCCTGCCAGGCACTAGGTCCCCAAGCATCCTTCTTACCTGCTCTCCTGTTCCCCATGGACAACGGCTCTCACACTACCCCTCCACTGAGAGATGTCGCTGCAACACTATGTCAGAGGCACAGATAAGAGTATGGGTCCCCAGATGTCTCTCCTTTCAGACGGAACCATCGCACCTGAAAAAAGACAGGACCTCTTTCAGGAGGCCCTTGGTCAAGTCCCATCTT